TACTTCACTGTAATTTAAAGTTTTTATGAGGAGATCAAATCTAGTTGTTGAGAATAATGGTAGACTGGTCACATTGCTTATAATTTTAAATCATTTAAGGTCTTTTTTTCAGGGATTAAGTGCATTAATAAGTTTTAGGTTGTTTTGTAAGTAGTAAATTTTTTGAAAACTGAGATATGACCATCTAGACCTAAAATCAAATGAGTGGAAATTCACCTGAAGACAATCAGACATACAGTGCATCCAGAAAGTATTAACAGCAATTAATTCACTTTTTCCACATTTTGTTATGTTACAGCCTTATTCTAAATTGTATTAAATTAATCTCTTTCCTCAAAATTCTACCTCATTATGACAACTTCTTCTTCTTTCAGTTTTTCCTTCTTCAGGGGTATCCATAGTGAGTCATCCTCCTCCATCTCACTCTGTCCTCTGCATCCTCTGTCCTTACTCCAACTACCTCTATGTCCTTTCTAACTGCATCCTTATAGCTCATAATTGGCCTTTGTCTTTGCATTTTTCCTTTCAGTTGTATTTCTTACATCCTAGAACGACTGTGGCTGAGTGGTTAGAGCAGTTGTCCTCCAATGCAAGAGTTGGGAGTTCGATTCCACCAGCAGTCACATACTGAAGTGTCCCTGGGCAAGACACTGAACACCCTCATATTCTCCGATGTGTGTCCCATCAATGTATGAATGTGATAACGCACTGATTAGTCTTTGTATAGATATACTGTAATAGAGTACTGTATGAATAGATAAAAGAAAGCACAGATTGTAGTATAAAGAATTTTGAGAATCTTGATAAGATAGAAAAGCACTATATAACTGCAGTCCATTTACAGTCCTATCAATATACCCACTGTCCCTTTTCTGGACAGGTCTAAACCACTGTCCCTCCTCTGGACATGCCCAAACCACTGTCCCTCCTCAGGGCATGTCCAAACCACTGTCCCTACTCTGGACATGTCCAAACCATCCCCATATGGCCTCTCTAACCTTATCTCCTTGTTGTTCTACCTGTACTGTACCTCTGATGATCTCATTCCTAATCTTATCCATCCTTGTCTCCTAAGGAGAACCTCGACATCTTCATTTCTGCTACTTCCAGTTCTGTCTCCTGTCTTTTTGTCCATGTATCTGTCTCCTGTCTTTTTGTCCATGTCTCTGTCTCCAGACTACACAACATAGCTGGTCTCACCACTGTCTTGTAAACTTTTCCTTTGACCTTTGCTGACACCCTTTTGTCACAAATCACTCCTGAAACTTTTCTCCACCCACTCCATCCTGCCTGGACTCTCTTCTTCACCTCTTTACCACATTACCCATTTTCCTGGACAGTGGACCCTAAGGACTTGAAGTCCTGCACCTTTGTGACCTCTGCTCCTTGTAGCCTCACTGTTCCACCTCCTCCCTCTCATTCACACATGGACTCTGTCTTACTACGGCTGACTTTCATTCCTCTTCTTTCAAGTGCATACCTCCACCTCTCCAAGTTCTCTTCCACCTGCTCCCTGTTTTCACCACTGATCACGTCATCTGCAAACATCATAGTTCACGGGGATTCCTGCCTGACCTCATCTGTTATTTGGTCCATCACCAGAGCAAACAAGAAGGGGCTCAGAGCAGATCCATGATGCACTCTCACCTCTACCTTGAATCTATCTGTCACTCCTACAGCACATCTCACCAGTGGCAGCTGGCCAATAGAGGGTGCTAGGGTGTGGCTCCACCACTCAACACTCACCAATAAGACATACAAAGTTAAATAATATGAAATTATAAAATTAAACAATTTTGAAATACGTGTATATTCTATATTTTTTAGTTGTGTAAGATAAATGGTTATAGTTAATGATGAGCAAAGTTGATTCGTTTATCAATGTTGTTGTCTGATTGGTGATGTTTTTCCTCCCAGCGGTGCAAAAATCTTTGCCCATAGACTCTCGTTAAAAGTTATACATGAACAGGAGCTGCCCTTCCAATACAAGAGATAGGAAGATTCTGGGCACATCTCTCCTGTGCCCAGAGCTGAATGCACAGTGCGGATCGTGCTTCCGGTGGAACAGATCGTGTAGTGACACTCACAACCAGGCTAGGTGTGAGAGGATCAGCTAGCTGCTGCAGGTAGGCTCTAATCCATTGAAAGCCCTTTATCTAATGCTTATGTTGCCATTTCTGACTGATATGCCTCTCAACTTTTCAATGTCATTGTTTGTGAAAAAACCTTCAACTTACTGTGTATTTCTAAAAGTGGGAACTGGTAAGTTTGTGTGTTTGTTTCTGGAACTAGCATGCTAGTGCTAGCCTCCAGGTTATAGTATTGGGTTCTGTGAACATTAGTACTTTTCTATACTAAATGTCACTGATGTTATTGTTATAATATTTCTGAACACCTGCATTTTTATTGACCTGGATAATGAAAAATAAGCCTGTTGCCTATTGTGGTATTAACATCTACACTCCAGTATGACTCCAGTAAGCTCTCCGGTCTACCAACCAGTTCCTCTTAGATGTCCCCAGATCTAAACCGAAATCCAGAGGTGATCGGGCTTTTGTGGTTGCTGCTTCAAAACTGTGGAACAGTTTACCTGATAATTTAAAGACCGTTCAGACTGTTGAGACTTTTAAATCTTTGCTTAAGACTCATCTGTATTCATTGGCATTTGATCCACGCAGAGTCTGAGAACAAATTCATCCAGCCATCCTTCCATCCATTTTCTTCCGCTTATCCGGGGTCAGGTCGTGGGGGTAGCAGCCTAAGTAGGGAGGCCCAGACTTCTCTCTCCCCAGCCACTTGGGCCAGCTCCTCCAGTGGGAATCTCGAGGCGTTCCCAGGCCAGCCGAGAAACATAGTCCCTCCAGCGTGTCCTGGGTCTTCCTCTGGGCCTCCTCCCGGTGGAATGTGTCCGGAACATCTCACCAGGGAGGCATCCAGGAGGAATCCTAAACCGATGCCCGAGCCACCTCAACTGGCTCCTCTCAACGTGGAGAAGCAGCGGATCTACTCTGAGTCCCTCCTGGATGACCGAGCTTCTCACCCTATCTCTAAGGGAGAGCCCAGACACCCTGCGGAGAAACCTCATTTCGGCCGCTTGTATCCGAGATCTTGTTCTTTCGGTCACAACCCAAAGCTCATGACCATAGGAACGTAGATTGATCGGTAAATTGAGAGCTTTGCCTTTTGACTCAGCTCTCTCTTCACCATGACAGACCTGTATAGCGCCCGCTTCACTGCAGACACTGCAACTATCCGCCTATCGATCTCACGTTCCATTTTTCCCACATTCGTGAACAAGACCACGAGATACTGAACTCCTCCACTTGGGGCAAGACCTCCTCTCTGACCCTCTCTACCCTTTTCTGGCTCAAGACCATGGGGAGTGGTGGCGCAGAGGTTAGAGAGGTGGGCCTGTGATCCGAAGATCGCCGGTTCACACCCCGGCCCCGACAACATCAAAAATTGTGGGTGGGGTAGGTGAAACACCCACACTTGCCCCCACCCTTATTCGCCCCACTCTGGGCCCATGAGCAACCCCCACCATGTGCTCCCTAAACAGGTCTCTCTTGAAAATGAGTTCTCGTGACTCAATGAGACTAACCTGGATAAATAAAGGCTAAATGAAAAAAAATAAAAAAAGAAAGACCATGGCCTCGGATTTGGAGGAACTGATCTTCATCCCGGCCGTGTCTCACTCAGCTGCGAACCACTCCAGCGAAAGCTGTAGATCCTGATCTGATGAAGCCAATAGGACCACATCATCTGCAAAAAGCAGAGACGTGATCCTAAGGCCACCAAAACGGATCCCCTCAACACCTTGGCTTCGCCTAGAAATTCTGTCCATAAAAGTTATGAACAGACTCGGTGACAAAGGGCAACCTTGGCAGAGTACAACTCTCACCGGGAACAAGCCCGACTTTCTGCTGGCAATGCGGACCAGGCCCTGACACCGGTCATACAGGGACCTAACAGCCCGTAGCAAAGGGCCCGGTACCCCATACTTCCAGAGTACCCCCCACAGGGTTCCCCGAGGGACGCGGTCGAACGCCTTCTCCAAGTCCACAAAGCACATGTAGATTGGTTGGGCAAACTCCCATGCACCCTCCAGGACCCTGCTGATGGTGTAGAGCTGGTCCAGTGTTCCACGACCAGGACGAAAACCGCACTGCTCCTCCTGAATCCGAGGTTCAACTATCCGACGGACCCTCCTCTCCAGAACCCCCGAATAGACCTTACGAGGGAGGCTTAAGAGCGTGATCCCCCTGTAGTTGGAACACACTCTACGGTCCCCCTTTTTGAATAGGGGGACCACCACCCCGGTCTGCCAATCCAGGGGAACTTCTCCCGATGTCCACACAATATTGCAGTGTCACGTAAGCCAACACAACCCTACAACAGTCTGAGAATAAATTTAGAGCTGATTTTTATTGTTGTGTGTTGTATTTTATTGCTAACTTTCTTATGTTTTGAGTGGCACTAGACACATTTTTACTCTTTTTATCTGTCTTACCTGTAAAGTACTTTGGTCAGCTTTTGTTGTTTCTATGTGCTATATAAATAAATTGACATCATTGCAATAAGTAAATAGCTCCTAATGTTAAAAATGAAACATTCAAATTGAAGGTACACTGAAATGTGCAAATAGTCATCTTTTGTACAAGTCTAGCCTCCACAACTCTTTCCCAGATCTTCATCGTGTGACTCATCACCTTAATTCCCCTGTAGTTGCTACAATTCTGTACATCACCTTGTTCTTAAAAATGTGCACCTTTGAATAGCTTATTTGAACAGCTTCCTGCACTTCACTATTCCACCACCAGTTTCCTTATCATCCATTCTTTGTCCAGATGACACACCAAGTACCTTCCTACCTGTCTCTCTAATTACTGCTTACCGGATCGAAGGTGAAACATTTCAGCACAAAAAAGAGAAACTGTCTAGATGACCTGACTGAAAAATGTTGGATTGTATACCTGGATTATTGAGCTTGGACGTTGTTATTCAATTCAATATAGTTTGTTTATTTAGCGCCAAATCACAACAAAGTTGTCTCAGGGACTTTACAGGAACATTCACATAAAATCCAATTAGTAAAGTTCTCTATCTAAGGAATCCAGCAGACAAGTTGAATCTTGGCTTTGTTGCAGTCTCCCATCCTGAGCAAGCACAGTGGCAACAGTGGAAAGAAAAACTCCCTTTTAACAGGAAGAAACCTCCAGCAGAACCAGCTCAGGACAAGCGGCCATCTGCTTTGACCGGCTGGTTTGAGAGGACAGGAAGGAGAGACAGACGAACACAGAATGGTAGGTCCAGATATAGGTCCAGGTCATGATTTAGGTCCAGGTGTACCTGAAAGACAAAAACATGTTAAGGATAGAAAAAATTACAAATACAAAACAGGTTGAGCAGAGTAAGTAAAGACAGTAGTAGAGTGAAAAGTGTGGTCAGTTTGTCCTCCAGCAGTCTAAGCCTATAGCAGCATAACTAAGGGACAGCTCAGGAAACCCAAGCCGACCCTAGCTTTAGGATTTTCCATCTTATATTACAGATCTTATTGTTCCATATTTTCCTAACAGAGCACTTCGTTCTCAGACTGCAGGTTTACTTGTGGTTCCTAGAATTTACAAAAACAGAATGGGAGGCAGATCTTTCAGTTATCAGGCTCCTCTCTTGTGAAACCAACTTCCAGTTTCTGTCCATGAGGCTGACACATTGTCCAGTTTTAAAACTCGGCTTAAGACTTTCCTTTTTGATAAATCCTATAGTTGGGGTCGGCTTGGGTTTCCTGAGCTGTCCCTTAGTTCTGCTGCTATAGGCTTAGACTGCTGGAGGACAAACTGACCACAATTTTCACTCTGCTGCTGTCTTTACTTACACTGCTCAACCTGTTTTGTATTTGTAATTATTTTTTCTATCCTTAACGTGTTTTTGTCTTTCAGGTACACCTGGACCTATATCTGGACCTGGACCTAAATCATGACCTGGACCTATACCTGGACCTACCATTCTATGTTCGTCTGTCTCTCCTTCCTGTCCTCTCAAACCAGCCGGTCAAAGCAGATGGCCGCTTGTCCTGAGCCTGGTTCTGCTGGAGGTTTCTTCCTGTTAAAAGAGAGTTTTTCCTTTCCACTGTCTCCACTGTGCTTGCTCAGGATGGGAGACTGCAACGAAGCCAAGATTCAACTTGTCTGCTGGATTCCTTAGATAGAGAACTTTACTAACTGGCTTTTATGTGAATGTTCCTGTAAAGTCCCTGAGACAACTTTGTTGTGATTTGGTGCTATATAAATAAATTGAATTGAATTTAGCAAAAAGGAAAGTCTTAAGCCTAGTTTTAAAAATGGACAATGTGTCAGCCTCACGGACAGAGATTGGAAGTTGGTTCCACAAGAGAGGAGCCTGATAACTGAAAGATCTCCCTCCCATTCTATTTTTGTAAATTCTAGGAACCATAAGTAAACCTGCAGCCTGAGAGCGAAGTGCTCTGTTAGCAAAATATGGAACAATAAGAGCTGTAATATAAGATGGAGCCAGGTTGTTGAGAGATTTGTAGGTTAGAAGTAAGATTTTTAATTCAATTCTGGATTTGACAGGGAGCCAATGGAGAGAAACTATCAGCTCTTTAACCTCACTAGGGTCCTCGAGGGGTCATGGGAGTTGGCCCATCCAGTCTACATGTGTTTTGTGGGCTTGGAGAAGGCATTTGACCGTGTTCCTCGTGGTACACTGTGGAGGGGTGCTCCATGAGTATGGGATTGGGGGCCTGTTGTTACGGGCTGTTTGATCCCTATAAAAGCGGTGCGGGAGTTTGGTTTGCATCGCCGGTAGTAAGTCAGACCCCTTCAGAGTGGGAATTTAACTCCGCCAGGGCTGCCTAATATCACCAATTCTGTTCATAACTTTTATGGACATAATTTCCTGGTGCAGCCAGAGGGCAGAGGGATTCTGGTTCGGTGGCCTCATGATTCCATCTCTGCACTTTGCAGGTGATGTGGTCCTGCTGGCGTCATCGTGCTGTGATCTTCAGCTCTCACTGGAGTGGTTCGCAGCCAAGTGTGAAGTGGCTGGGATGAGAATCAGCACCTCCAGATCTGAGCCCATGGTCCTCAATCGAAAAAGGGTGGATTGTTCTCTTCAGGTCGAGGGTGAAGTTCTGCCTCAAGTGGAGTAGTTCAAGTATCTCGGGTTTTTGTTCACGAGTGAGGGAAGAATGGAGCGTGAGAATGGCAGATGGATTGGTGCAGCATCTGAAGTATTGCGGACTCTGTACCATTCCATTGTGGTGAAGAGAGAGCTGAGCTGTAAGACAAAGCTCTCTGTTTACTTGTCAATCTACGTTCCTACCCTCATCTATGGTCACAAGCTCTGGGTAGTGACCGAAAGAGGGATATCACGGATACAGGCGGTAAAAATGAGTTTCCTCCGCAGGGTAGCAGGATTCTCCCTTAGAGATAGAATGAGAAGTTCAGTTATCAGGAGAGACTCAGAGTAGAACTGCTGCTCCTCCACATCCAGAGGAGCCAGTTGAGGTGGTTCAGGCATCTGGTAAAGATGCCCCCTGGATGCTTTCCTAGGGAGGTGCTTCGGGCATGTCGACTGGGAGGAGACCCATGGGAAGACCCAGGACACACTGGAGGGACCATGTCTCTCGGTTGGCCTAGGAATGCCTTGGGGTCCCCGCAGAAGAGCTGGAAGAAGTGGCTGTGGAAGGAGATATCTGGGCCTCCCTGCTCAAGATGCTGCCCCCATGACCCGAATTCGGAACCAGCAGAAGATAATGGATGAATGAATGGGTGGATGGATGGATGGATGGATGGATGGATGGATGGATGGATG